CCCTCTCTGCTGAGCAGCTCTCCAGTCACTTTTTGCTATCCATAATCCCTTGCATGGTCAGTGAAGATAACAATACAGCTGTCCTGCAGTGTGAGAGGGCTACTGCCGACTTGCACAGCCACTCTGTGTGAATCAGAGACATAGACAGCTCTGGTGAATCCCCCTTGAGTTTTAACTTCAAGGATCACTACAACCTTTACAGTTTGTCTAGTATTTATTCAATTAATAGATTGTCAAAAAACAAGTAAACCACCATCTCCCATGGCAATCAGAGAACAGGTTTCACAAAGATAGAAAAAGCTTAACATGAATTATTCACCAATATAAGTATCTTCAGTGAATGCAAGAAAAGGTGTTGTTTTAAAAACTACATCTAAGTGCAACTGGCTTAAATATTTCAGAAGCAATTACGATCTAGTGTGTCATGGTCCATTTCTGTGCAGTACTTCAGGTGATTTTGTTTTATATGGTAACTAATTTGGATTTGTCACTAGAAACAATAAATCCTACTAAAAATTCAAGCAAAAGTGTATTAAAAATTACTTTTCATAAATGGAGCATGAGGAAAGGACTAAAGAGTCGTAAGCAGGAATCTGTGTATCCCACCATAACAGCCCCTTCCTCTACTACCCATTTCAATGCTACTTGCTTTCATTCTCCTGATCCTCCGGAGGGTAAACAAGCCCCTGAAATTCCACGTTGACATGGATTTCTATTCCCAAGATCAAGGCAACCTTCAAAAGGATAAGCTGGAGCTGACGGATACCTGCAAAAAAGCAGATGATAAAAGAAATAAAAGAAAAAAGAGCACAAGTGCCCATGTGTCTCTGTTTGACATTCCTGATAAACTGACTTAAAGGCCAGCTGCTCCTTTCTTTTTCCCACTGCACTTCATCCAGGCAGCACTAGTGTGTAATATCAGGGCATGCCAAGAAATATCTACATAGCTGAAACCCCAGGCCTTTTCAAAGAATAAAAAGTAAATCATTTTTTTTTATGTTTCAGTCCTCAAATCATCAACAAGGGCAACATGGACCGCAGGAGAGGGAGGGAAGAGAGCACAAGCAGGATTGCACTGTTGTCACAGCTGGCAACTAGCCATTTGCTCAGCCTAGGTGTAATACCAAACTGCAGCTTCAGCCTCACACCTCCAGGTTAGTGAGGGCACAGGAAGTTTCTCACCACCTCCTTCCTCTGTAGGCAGCAGATATGAAAAGGACAGTGTGTAAACTCTATTAATTTGAAGGTAGACACTTTACTGTCACGTTTTAGACACTGAAATGAAAAAATGCTTGACTTAAAGACTAAATTTCAGCTGTGCTGAGATACGAAAGAAGACAATATGCATAAAGCATTGGAAGAATAAAAATGGCAAGAAACTGGGAGGGAAAAAAGCAATCTGCAAGACTGACACTCCAAAGATCTTCCAGTTTTACCATTCATTGCAAATAGGACAAGCAGCCAAATCTTATCTGCTATGTTTGTGCCACTTCACACTTCCCACTTATGTCCAGTGGAGAACAGAGACTGGTGGGCAAAACCTGTCTGTGCCATGGCCAGCAAATTATTTTTGATTGTTTTTTTAAAAAAGAAGAACTGAAAAATAATAAATCCTAGTCCACTAAAGCATTCAGCTTTCAAAAGAGAGTGATTTCTGAGAATTTGAGAATCATCAAAATTATTCTCAGTTCTAATATGCAAACCTCTACTTAATCAAAACTTATTCACAGGCTGACAGTGCTCTTGAAAATATCTTTGTCACTCTTCCAAAAAATTAACAAAGCCAAAATTGCTCCTTCTTTTTCCAGATCAACATTCATAGGAATGTTCAAAAGCAATCAGTAATTTTTCTTCTTTACAAGTCGCTTACAATGCTCAAGAGAAACAGAATAACGTGGCAGCTGCAGGAATGTAACAGCAAATATATGAAAATTGGATAATTAAAAAAAAAGTTTAAACCTGAAATGTTGTTGTTTAGGAAAAAGATGTGCTTTGGAATGTAGCAGGTATAAAAGATGGTAAAAATATATTGGATGTGTGATAATCTCATGGCACAATGTATTTCTTTCACATCTAGGTCCAACATGCACTATGCTGAACTGTACCAGAAATGATTGCTGTGGGCTGAATTTTAACGAGTTGCCCCCAAGCCCTCACCCAAATTTCCCCCCCCCATGAAGAACAAGTGCTGGTGTGTCCAGCAGCAGCTCTACTTACTGATATGGTCTATAGATCCTGCGCAGAATTTGCCATAAAACTTCTTGGCGCCGAGCCCCCTCAAGTCGTGGATGGTGAAGGGCCACAGGTGCAGCACGTTATTGCGGGAGAAGGCATCTCTCTTCTCTATGACCACCACCTTGGCTCCCAGCAGCGACAGGTCGATGGCTGTGCGAAGGCCACAGGGTCCAGCCCCAATTATCAGACACTGCAAAACAACCAGCACACAGGAACTTTACAGTCCTAGGAGGGAAATTCTGTTTTTATCACAGCTTCCAAGCATCCCATGGCTCTTAGGAGTAAAGTGTTCTTTGTCTGCAACATAAGCTGGAATTGCAGATCAGTGTTTCTATTGCTGCCTGCCATGCTCTGCCATTAAAAGCAGTTAAAGCAGTTACTGCAACCTGAAAACAAAACATATTCCCCAAAGCAGTGCAAAGTGTGGAGAAGCAGGCAAGTCACCTGCCTCTTTTAAAGCCTTGTTTTAAGAAGAGATGCCAAGGCATATTCTCTAAGCTATATAAGCACCTGGAGAACAGCAGTATTCCTGAAAGCTTCTCCTCCTCATTCCATCCAAGTGCCTTTTTTCTTAAAAAAAAAGAAGGAAAGAAAAGAAAAAACAGGAGGAAAGAGAGAGGGGAAAAAATGGATGAAAGAGAGAGAAAAAAAACAGGAGGAAAGAGAGAAAAAAACAGGAGGGAAGAAAGAAAAAACAGGAGGAAAGAAAAGAAAAAAACAGGAGGGAAGAAAAGAGAGAAAAAAACAGGAGGAAAGAAAAGAAAAAAAACAGGAGGGAAGAAAAGAAAGAAAAAAACAGGAGGAAAGAGAAAAAACAGGAGGAAAGAGAAAAAAACAGGAGGAAAGAGAAAAAAACAGGAGGTAAGAAAAGAAAAAAACAGGAGGAAAGAAAGAAAAAAACAGGAGGAAAGAAAGAAAAAAACAGGAGGAAAGAAAGAAAAAAACAGGAGGAAAGAGAGAAAAAAAAAAAACCAGGAGGAAAGAGAGAAAGAAAAAAGTGGGCTATAGTGTTTTCCTCTCATCTTCCAAAGCCTGAGCTGGCTTTTCTTGAGAAAATCTTCATTAAACCCAAAAATTCCTCAGCATCACTAGTAGCATCTCAATGGCTAAGGTAGGTAACTACAAGAGACGCTGGTGTTCTGATAAACATCATCATTTATAGCGGCACAGACAGTCAAGTCAGAGCACTAACTGATGCCTCTGCTGGTGCTTCTACTACTGCAGCAAAGGGACCTTCAGGGAAGTAAACACAACGTAAACACAAACTCTGTGTGACCAGACAGCTTTTACCAACATATATTTTCCCCAACCTAACCTTTGTCATATCAAAGGTCTTTCATCTGCTCATATCTTTTTCCACTCCACTCATAAACTATCAGAGGCCAATAAACAGCCTAAGAATGTAAAATATGTGTGTATATCTCCTGTTGGAAATGCTTTCGGAGAAACACATGATACAGCAAGATCATTCTTTTAAGATTAAAAAAACTAAGATAGTCAGTTGATATTTCTTAGCCCCAGACACTGAGGTCCACGAGGAAAGCTGGAGTGGTTACGTGCACTCACAGGCACACAGCACACAGCTGATTTTGTCATATCATTTTTGTACTTTGATTTCTATTAAGTATAAACCAGAGACACAGAATAAAGACTTTGCTGCAGTGGTACCTGCTGCTGCCAGGTCAGTATTTTCCAGATGCTTTCATACCGTTATGGATGGACAACAAAGTCCTTTGAGAAATTCTTCTCCAGCACAGAGCCACCGAGATGATGAAGGGAGTGGAGCATCTCCCTGCTGAGGAAAGGCTGAGGGAGCTGGGGCTCTTTAGCTTGGAGAAGAGGAGACTGAGGGGTGACCTCATTAATGTTTATAAATATGTAAAGGGTGAATGTCAGGAGGATGGAGCCAGGCTCTTCTCAGTGATGCCCAATGGTAGGACAAGGGGCAATGGGTGTGAGCTGGAACACAGGAGGATCTGCTTCAACTTGAGAAGAAACTTCTTTACAGTGAGGGTGACAGAGCCCTGGGACAGGCTGCCCAGGGAGGGGGTGGAGTCTCCTTCTCTGGAGACATTCAAGACCTGCCTGGACACCTTCCTGTGTGATCTCATTTAGGTTCCTGCTCTGGCAGGGGGGTTGGAATGGATGATCTTTTGAGGTTCCTTCCAATCCCCAACATTCTGTGATTCTTAAGTACACTAAAACTTAACCAGAACCCAACCTTTTGATAAACAGTCTATCCCAAAACAAAGCTCTTTGTTCTTTGGTCATCTCCATATGCCAGTTTTTACAGGTCACCACATTTTCACCAATTATTCACTGGGGCATAAATTCTGCAAATGATGTGAAACTGCAAATATAAAGGCTGAATGATGAATGGGACAGTACAAGTTACAGCAGCGACAACGTAACAACTGACACGCAAATTCAAATTAATACCACTGTAAAACATAAGTCATATAAATCTGAGGGCAGAGATCCAAGTCTAGAGGAGAGGGGAGGGAAGAATCACAGAGCTGCTGTTTTAGTAGCTCCAGGAACCTGAAGGTGTATGGGAGAAAAAGCAAATCCAATCACTGAGCTTCCGAAATAGAAACACTTCCAGGGAGGAGCAGCCACAGCTTCTCTGGGCAACCTGGGACACTGTCTCACCACCCTCACACCAAAGAATTTCTTCCTCACATCTCAGCTCCATCTCCCCTCTGCCACTTGCAAGCCATCACCCCTTGTTCTGTCACTCCCTGCCCTTGGCCAAAGTCCCTCCCTACCCTTCCTGGAGCCCCTTCAGGTACTGGGAGGCCACTAGAAGGTCTCCCCGGAGCCTTCTCTTCTCCAGGCTGAACAGCCCCAACTCTCTCAGCCTGTCCTCACAGCAGAGCTGCTCCAGCCCTCGCATCATCCTCGTGGCCTCCTCTGGACTGGCTCCAGT